TTCCTCAATTTCCTCAGTAGTGGTGTTACCAATATTAACAACAGCGCCCGGAAAATAACCCCTTCCCCAACGTAGTTCACCTTGCAAGCAAGCTTATAGACAACCACCGTAACTCTTCCAGTTCTGGCAGAATCAAAGGAAGTCCGCCCGCTTTGAAATCCGGGAACCATAAGCAGATCCAGGACTGGCTCCTGGGGGAGAGGGTGGGGACGAGGCATGGGAAGGAGAGAGGAGCTTCTAAGAGTGGAGGCGGGGGAGGACAACGAGGGGGCCACCATGAAATGCACAGTCCTCATCTGGACCGTACAATATCAAATCCTGCAATTCTAAAAACTAAGCAACCGACCATCCAGCAGTAGCTGCAAGCATGCAGCCACAACACCACGGAATACAAAGAAATGCTACAGACATTCAATCGCAAATTATGTATTCCCGATGAGCGTATGTTTGTGTGTGAGTCTGTATGTGCGTGTGTGTTCTACTGTGCTTGCAGGTGGCCTACGGGTTCTAAATGTTGTCTTACAGCTATCTGCAGACGTAGATGGAAGTTACGCTTAGCAATGTTTAAATTCTAGATTTTACAAATCTGTGAAAAACCATGTTGAGGCATCGGGACTTTAGGGATCCGATTAGCCTTTGTAGTGCGAACGCAGGCCCTTCTCTGTATTCATCCCTCTTAAGCAAATCCAGTGTCAGGATGGTGACAGACTGCAGTCCAGTGCACACGATAGTCCAGAATAATGGCCCCCCTCTGCTAAGCTGACTGACTAATGTATACCGCCGCAGTAAGGCGCAGGGATAGCGTCAATCTCCGGCTAGCCATAACCAAAGGCTGGCCTGCACCGCCAACCAACACGCAGTGAAGGAAAACAGCTGGCTGGTCCAGAAATCAACAGAAACAGCTAGCCGATCCAGAAATTTTTGCACTGTTCCAGTGCAGTAGGAGGCTCCCCCCATCCCCCATCAGTTTCCAGGAGCAACTCCCCTGACAATCCGTCTTGGGTTGCCCGTGTTCATACACATGTTTTCATACCTCCCGGGAACTTAGTGGTTCTTCGCGAACTGGTCGTCTGCCCACCTGAAAACAGTGTGGCAGCGAGGAGGGAGGCAGGCAATTAGTAGACTCGGAGAACTTCTCTTCACCTATTTCTGAACAAACCTGGGCTTTTGCAGTATTGATGCCTATGCCTTTGGGGCGGAAGGCCCTTCGCCCCCTCGACCCATCTTGCCGGGAATGAGCTATTACTATGAGACTTCCGCCCGTTCGTCCGCTACGGGACGTAAGTACGTCTGAAATCGGTACTCCATGACACGGAATCACTTATCGCCCAAGGTTCGCCAGAATGTAACTACAAAACTCGGGCGATAACTGAGAAGGGGAGGAAGGAAGCCGGAGGGATACTGGGTTCGAGATGGAGGAACGAAAGGGTGGAAAGGTGCGAGGATCAAGCGCGGTGATTTAACTTTCGGTGGGATTCCAGAAGGGAAGAACGGAGGAACTAACTGCAGAGGAGCTGAGCATTGCTTTGAGATATAAATTTGAAACAACGGGATTTACGGAGGAAGGATATCTATGCGAATTTTCGTATCAGCATGAAACCGGATGGTGCAGGGGGGCAGCAGTCCTAAATGTGACATCTGAGGATCCCAATTCCCCGTAACTATTAAAGATCGGTTCGGCCACGCAATATGCAAAATATGTAAGGTCAGTACCTCTTCGTTCACTAACAAAAAACGCAAATTTTTACCATAAAATGCTATACAAATTTATGCAACAAAATGTTATACAAATTTAAACAATAAAATGCCAAACAAATTTACACAACAAAATGCTATACAAATTTGTACAATAAAATGCTACATGAAATAATGCAGTAAAATGCTAAACAAAATTTGCCGATAAGCTAAACATACATAGTTAATTTCCATCACATATTCAAACAATCATACATAAATGACGACCATGAAATTCGCCAGCTGCCTGAGCTAAAGCACGCTGGTTGCAGTATACGAGTTCGTAAACTGGCACGCAGTCTGTCAAGGTCAGCACTGCCGGATAGATGCGGTACAGTGCTGTAAGCAGCTGACAGGCACGCACTGCCACTTCGCAATCCTTGTCCATAACCATACTGACAAGTCGATCCTTGAATTTGTTCGTGAACAGCTCCAGTTTTACGGCCAGACGCGGCTCGCTGTGCAGAGGAAGAAGCGCCGAAATGCACTTCAATCGCACGTCGCCCACCTGAAAATTTCGCAATGGCTCTCAACAGGATTGAATCCACAGCAAAAAAACAGACGCAGTTTAGGCTATTTTCTGGCAGAATTCTTTGCTCATCTGATGTTAATAGCAGGCACTGGCTCTCTCTCTGGTAAAATCCTGTTTTGTGGCAAAACCCTTTGTTTATCTGAGATTAACAGCAGGCATTAGCTCTCTCCCTCTTTCTCTCTTTGCCAGAATCGCTGCCGCAATCAGATCGAAAAGCGGGCACGGTAATGGAGCCCATCTGTTTCATGGCATTTCCCATGTTGCGAATTTCTGTTGTTCCTCACGGGTGGTGTTTGAAGGTGTTGTTAGAGAACACATTCTACGTTTTATGTGTACAGCTGTTTGACCTTTACTGCATTTTACCACCGTCACCGCTGGTGAAGTTGACAGCGGTCAGTAGTGCACAAAATTAGTCCCGCAAAATGCGGTGCAGTGTCTTTTTCTCATGACAAAGTTTGATTATTCCAACGCGTCCTGATACAGCTTAATCCTTTGTCATCCCGTGCTACAGTGCAAATGTATGGGAATTTTGTGGAGGCAGAAAAAAAAAACCATCATAAAGAATAAATTTTTTTTATTACTAACGATTTTTCGTTTTCTTTTCGCAAAAAATAATTGGCTAACGCACGGGTTGCCCGTGCGAAGGTGCGTTTTTTGCATAGTTCCCCGTAGTTTTTTTTCGCTACCGGCACCGGTTTTTTTGGCAAAAGCATCTAGCTAAACAAATTAAGACTGGCCAACAGAACTGCTAGGGAACATCCCCTTAAAATTTCCGCTTTCTAGCTTTTTCGACTCATGAGTTAACAAATTAGTGGAAGGAGACTTTTACGGACCCGCACGTGGGTATCACGCATATACGTGGGCTGGGTTTGAGCTCATTAATACCTGCTTGAACGGGGAACATCTCCCTAAGATTCCAGCGTTCTAGCTTTTCAGATCCCCGAATTACGAATTTACCCGGAAAAAATTTTGGCGGACCCGTACGGGTGTACCACGTTTACCCCGAGGCTGGGTTTGAGCTCATCAATACCTATCTGGGCGGGGAGCATCCTCTTAAGATTTCAGCCCTCCAGCACTTCTGGTTCTCGAGTAAGCAGATTACCCGTAAAAACTTCGGCGGGTTCTTACATGGGTACCACGCGGGTAAGACCGCCCACTTTGAGGATGAGGGCCCGTACGTGTATGTAGATTAAGCCCCCAAAGTTTCATTCCTGTAACTCTTGCAGGTCTCTAGATGAAAAATCGGTACAGAGGC